AGGATCCCTTTTCAGAATCCTTTTGAACATGTTAGGAAAGAATTTAAATATAATCTAAAGGTAAGAATATTTGTCATAGCTATTGATTAGACATTCATAATTATATTGCAGCCTCAAGCTAGAACTGCTTTAGAAAAAGCTGCTCATAAAGTTTCAGACCTGGATTACTTATTGGAAATGCTATTTGAGTTTATTCATACTTATGTTCAGTATTGTGATGTGAATGACAGCAAGCAACCGTAAGATCATTTTTAATTTTAACTTATCAATTTGATCTAACTTGCTTAAATGGCCCTGGTACACTATAGGTAGCCACATTTGTCATAGCTTTGATGCAGTGTTGCCAAAAATAGAAAGCTGTTCTATTCTTAAAATTTGGTAACATGCAGCTTGATTGCCTGGTTTACTATAATGAGGCATTTATCGTGCCTTATTTTCTAAATACATCACTTTGATCATTCATATATTTTTTTAGATTAAACCACTTCTTTGAAGAATTTCTCAAGCAAACCAGGTCAAAGATTATTTCAGATTTGAAAAAAGTTTTTTCTCAAAGTGTTCTATTGAGTCAAGTTACAGATTGCTGGAAATGCTTAGCTGATTTTGAGGATTCTATTAAAAAACTTAAAAGCTATTAGCCTTTAGTAATTTGGATCAGTAATTTAGTTAGTTCTGACATTGTTATTTTGTTTATAACTGTAGTTTGTTTATTACTGTAATCTGTAGTTGATCTTTCTTTGCTATTTACTGACTTTACTCATAAAAATTTGTAAAAATTGAGGTAAAAATAATTAATGATCTATGCGCCCACAGACATGCCACATATTTATATCTATGCCATGGCTATGCCCACTTGGGAGCATAAATCTTGAACAATGTATCATATATACTACACGGTATCAATGGATGAATGTGTTAAAAATTTGAAGTAGACTGGCAGCTTTTTTGGCTCTGTTGCTTTCATTAAATAATTGTTTAAAGCTCTGCTTTAAACAGTGTAACAGACGCTCCAACTATCTGTTAACCAAACTTTATTCTTAATCAACACGAAACTCACAACTGAGCTCCAAAACCAACTAACAAAAACAAAACTAACTCACAACTAAAACACAACTCACAAACAACACACTTATAATAGATGTTATAAATGTCCAGAAGGTTCTATAACATACAAGAATACTTTACATGATTGTTCTAGATTATACTTGAATAAACACATAATATATAATTACAATAGTACACAGAGAGTTCCGGATCCATTTAGAAACAACTTCTTACATTTCCTCCCTTCCCCTCTGGCACGAAGTGCTCTTCCTCTCCAATCTAGAAAGTGCATCTGCATTTGCATTTGCTAACCCTTTCCGATGTTGTATAGTGAAATTATATGGTTGCAGAATCAAACTCCATCTAGTCAATCTTGCATTCTTCTCTTTAA